GTTTGAGCTTACTAGCACATCTGTCTGAGTGCTTTGGTGCACCATGAGTGCAGTATATAAATATAAATAAATATAAATGTCTTTAAAAATGAGCTCCTTTTATCTACGGATACATCATTAAATGAGAAACGAAGATTGTTAACGGTCGGATAAGTTTTGCCATGAATAATATCAAAGCAGGGAGAAACCGTGATCCTTCATTGAACCGCATACTTTGGAAATTCGTTTCTAGCAACCATTTTCCCTCTTTCACGATGAGATCTAAAGTGTTCAAATTTGAAAGGGACACAAATCTAGGAAGAGAACACCGCTGGTAGGTTGAGGTGTAAACTCCGCATATTGGAGGCAGGGCGTGTCCGATTCGGAACCGACATTTATACCTAGAGGCTTTCCAGATTATGCACCACAAAATCGCAGCTTTGCCCCTTCAGATATGGAGCGTTCACATAGGCTAAGATTGACTCTGAAGAGATGCACCGGTCTTCTAGTATATCGATCTGTTGCGCAACTGCCTAACCAGCCGCAGCTTGAATCACTTTACCGTTACAGTGTTCCAACTCTGAGAAATTGAAGAGATGTGCTGGGGATATAGCTGTTGTCTATCGGTTGCAATCGATAGTAGCAACCGATTTTGACCAGTATACTTTGTAACAAACGGTATGGGGCTGCTGCCAACTACTCTTCTTTCTTTGGAAGAGAAGGGAAGGTATAAAAAGGAGAGCCCGGCGTGGGCCGTGCGTCCCGATTGGTTGATCAGTAAAGCTGCGTTTTAGTTTGAGCTTGTTTTGACCTGACCTTTTGTGACCTTGTAAATCTCTGACTGAAATGCCTGTGAATTCTTCGACAACGGAGGCTTGCGAATGAACGGAGTGATGCGCTCTGATGAAGCGACACCGGAATATCTTGAAAAGAGCAAAAGTTTTCATGATATGAGCAAATTGAAAATACCGAATATCGGTTCCTCTCCATGAGCTTTCAAGAGACGCTTTTTCAGTCGCACTCTCCTCGCAGAGAGTCAGCTTCTACAGTTTCGTTTTTGCGCCTCATTGTCCACATCACAAATTGCATCGCAGAGTGCATCCCACAGAGATAATGTAGTTGACAATACATTACCTTTTCCGATGGAATTTTCGCCTCTTTCTCCAAATCGCCACCCGGATTCTCATGCTCATCAGTGGAAATGAGTAAGCTTCTATCGATTGGACTAATTTGAATCGTCAGACAAGCGAGTTGGCAAGGTCCCTAAAATTGAAATATGCGACCTGAATAAATACATTAACCAATGAGCGCCTTGCTCATAATAGTAAGTAATTGATCTTAAGGATTCACCTGCTTCCGTCGGTCGTCCTGCCAAGTCACTGTACGTGTAATCGTTAACAGCCTGAGTGGATGAGCATCGATCTTCTTATCGGAAAATGCGTCAATATACAACCAGCTTAACGGACAACTTTGCATATCAACATAGTATCGAATATGTAACTCATGTACAAAATTATCCTACGTTGACAAAGAAATTCCATTGAGAGGCGGAAACACTCTTTCAGTTCGGTTAGACGAGAAGAGAGGGGCCAATGACGGTATAAACAGACATCCAAATCCTTCCATGACCAAATCGGTTTCAACAAAGGATGGAGCGTGGGAGAGTCGTTGGTCACGAGGAGTCATCATGGACACCAGTGCTTTCACTCTTAAAAAAAGATAAATACGATAGTTGACCTGCAAAGGCTCGGACACCTTAGAAACACTCCGGTAGACTAGAACAAAATTTTTCATTCTTTCTTTGTTTTCGAGGGCGGAGGTGGTGTAGTGGCAAGTGGCGCACTATATCACACGCACGGTCAGGGGTTCGAATCCCGGATCGATGCCTGCCTAGGCCAACCAAGCCTTCCATCCCTCCGGGGTCGGTGAATTGGTACCAGACTCGTCTGGGAGGATAAAAGCACTGACTTGTACATCGGCTGGCCACCGCAAGTCATTGTATAGGACATACGCACTCATTACGCCACTACGATTCTGAATGGAAGTCGAGTGCGGGGGCGCATCCCTCAGACGGGATTGATTAACGCCAAAAACTTTATCCTTTATCCTTTATCTTTCTTTTCGAAACTATCAGGTCATACCCTGACTACCTGACGTTCTATGTCCTTGTTCTTTAAATAAGGTGTTTCTTTTGAAGCCTAAACTCCTAGTAAGCTAGCTTTCTACAGCATCCTTGCCAGCTTGAGCATCGATTCGACGCTTTTACGAACAGAATGAAAAACAGCGAAGAGCTTACGGGAAATTGGTGCTTTAGGGAATCGGTTGATCAAAAGAGCTCTATCGTTCCATCGGTGGGCTAACTGTATTAGTTACCTCCGCCATCGAAAGTATCTGATATGCCTTCGATGAAAGAGTTGAAAGTCAAGATCAGCGAGAAAGACCTTGTAAAACAAGGAAACCCCTGGAAGGGAAAGTAACGTATTGAGCAGAATAGTCGTAAAATCGCACAACGAAAAATGTAATAGGTTGATGCACAAGTTTTCTCCCCTTGTTTGTTCTTTCCGTATTTCGTTTGTATTGATGTTGGTATTTCGCAACACGTGTGCGTGACGTGAGCATGATACTACCTCATCACATTAGCTATCACTCACCTACCCTGACGACAATGCAGACGACAATGCCGTACAATTACCACTGTAACAGAATCACAGCCTGGCTTTGCTTCACGAATTCGGCTGGAATACGAAGGAAGCCAATACTAAGCTAGTGAAAAGAGATCTCACCTCACACCGCACGTGCACAACTCAATTCGCCAAATTCAAGAAAGATTTTTCTCTTGAAGATGCTTCGAGGACGGGTCGGTCGATGGGGTTGGTTGGAGATCACCACATTCCACCGTGGAGGAAATGGCTACCTCACCGCCAGGGTAATGGCGACCATGCTCGACTATAAACGATCGACGATTCTACGTGAACAGCTCGGTAAGGTAGCAAAGCTTGGTCTATGGGTCCCACAGAACTGTCCGCTTATGACCTCTCGAGGAGGGTGGCCACCTGCACTTCTCTAATCACACATCAAAGGGTGCTCGATTTTCTCAGCTCGGTGATCACTGGAAATGAGAAGCGGGTTGTCTACGATGACCGTGGGAAAGCGGCAATGGGTCGACAAAGGAGAACAGCGAGATCTACCCCAAGGTCGACCTTTACCCCAAAAAGGTTCTCCTGTCCTGCTGGCGGTCCAGAAAAGGCACTGAGCTGCTGAAGAAGGGATAGACGATTAACGCTTCCACATATGTTACCTAGCTGTGGGAATTGAAAATCACTTCAACCGTAGTTGCGGATCGACTGCGGAAATCCACCATGACAACGGCCGACCTCACACTGCAATGGCGACCCAGGCGAGCTGGAGAAGTATGGATTGCTGATTGTCGCTCAGCCCTCCTACAGCAATGACCTCGCTCCTTCAGATTACTGGCTGTTCAGCCATCTGGACGGAAGAAAGTTTGAAACAGAGGCTGAGGTCAGAAGGAGACTCGGCGACTTCTTCTTCTTCAAGTCCCAACCTTCGTCCTTTTGGGCCGAAAAGTTCCCGCCGATTTTTGATTCATCTTCGAAAGACAACACCTAGACGAAGAAATCCATTGATTGAACAATATACCCTCCATTCTGTTTAGTAAGGATTCACCATCTTCCTGTAGTTTCCAGTTGTCCTCTTCCATAGAAGACCTAAAATCAAAAAACCCTCTCAGGTGCTTCTTGCAGTCCTCCAGCGAATTGAACGATTTCCCATTCAAAGAATTTTACAGAAACCCAAACAAGTGGTATTCTGATGGTGCTATGTCTGGATTATATGGGGAGAGGGGGAGGGGGGGTGGTAAGACATCCCACCCAAGCTTTAGCAACTTTTG